TAGTGTGCATTATCTAACTCGCCTTCCCAGCAAAGTAACAAGATAATGTTGTTTAATATAACGACACATAGAGCTGTAGCAAGCAGTAAGGCTTTCTTTGGAGCTATTATTCCACTTAAACAATAGCTTCTGATGCATGACAGCATTGAAATATGCTGGCAAAACAGCCTAAGGGAAACTGGCTCATTATTCGTAAGGAAGAAACTGCATAGATCTGCTCCTGTTTAAATAATCTGTTTACAGCCAAATATTAGCAAGAATCAATGAATTATAGCATCCCTGCTAGCAGAATTACACAGCCATTAACGGATTCAACGTTTCTTATAATTTGAGAGAAAGAAATACAAAAGTGCCTCATTATCATCTGTTCTCACCTTTTCTCAGTGCGGTTTCTAGGTAAATACCCTGAAGCACTCTGACAGCAATGATGCAGGCAGTTAGGATCTCTACTAGATGTCAGTATTCTTGACACAATCTGCTTTTATTGAGCTCTGTTCCATGAGGTCTAAATTAATTTACAGTCTATCCTGACCTGTATTTTATATTCCTATTTCCTGGGCATTTACAGTTTCAATTTATTTCTTCTTCCCATGACTGAATGTTTCATAAAGAATACAAGTAGACATATGGGGGGGAGGAGGCGCAAGATGCAATTTTGCCCATTATATCCTTACATATCACAGAGCGTCTCAGAAAGAGGGCATCTGGAGGTTTACCAGGGTTTTTTTGTCATCCTCCCCCAACCTGTCAATGCATAAGCATCTTCAAGATAAAGTGAAATCCTTAAAAATACCATCTATACAGATACCCACGTGGGTACGTGCGTGCACAGAGTCTACCTTTGATGCATAGAAAACAACTCTCACAAAGCGTTTTGCTGCCTGGCCTGAGATAATTTTGAACACTTGCAAAATTTCATTTACATCAAGTCAAAGTATAGGTTTTTGTTTTGTGTGAGCAGCTTAATATCTCAGAAACTGAAAAAATGGCACTTGGGAGCCAGGACACAAGACATACACAGGAAAAGGATCACAGGGAAAAACAAACACTATCTAACGCTTCTCATCCTTTACTTCCCTTTGGCCTCGAAAGATCCTGTGGTGAATCGACTCAACTACAGCTTGCCTACACTTTTGTAAAAAATAAAAGATTAGCTCTCCTTCTCACACTGGGGAAAAAACCCCAAACATCGAAACGACTTAAAGCTGCCCTGAAGATGTATTAACCCCAAGAAAGACTTTGGTTTTACTGAAACCCTCTGTCGCTATGAGTTAATTAGACAAACCCGTGCACTCAGCACGTCTTCTAGAGATGCGCAAACCTCCTGCAGTTCTGCAGAGCTTGGACCTTAATTCAAAATGACAGAGCAAAACATTAAGGTCTGCTCTTATAAGGCGTACACTTTGCTTACGAGTAGATGACTGTGGATGACCTAGACAAGTACTAGGACTTACACATTTAAAATACTCATTAAAAAAAAAAAAAGGTTGATATTATTCAAGCAGTTGAAATCAACTATAAAGGACAAAGCAAGTGGGTTGAGTTTTTTTGAGTCTGTTTTGCACAATTCATCCTTTCTATTCCACATACTTTCTTGTTTTTACACTCTCATGTTTTATCAACTGTGCTGCCATTCTAGTTTTGAAACTTGTGAAATTCTTCAGGTCAGTTTCTTTACACTAGTAACATGCATGCATTTTTTTTCCTACCTTCACTTTTTCATGTGTATAGATATTACACTGGGTATAGTTTGTCCACGTCCTGTTGCTTTCTGGGTGTCTAAACCAATTCCCACTTGGATCACAGATCTTCGTAACTTTTTCTACAGTCAGTGAAAGTGGATGGAAAGAAAAACAAAAAAGCAAAACAAAAGAAAAACACAACAGTCAAGCACTGAAGTTCTGCTTCCTGATGCCTAGTATTTCATGAAGAAAGATTGGCAAACAAATGACAGCTTTATTAATATGACTAAAGAGACACTGCTTGTTACTACGAATTCTGAGAAACTAGAGGCCGTTGCTTTTGCTTGGCAAGGGCAACTGATGATGTGATTTTCTTAAGAAAACAAACAGATTTCCCTCCTCCAATCCAGGAGGATTTTTGATATATCAAAATATATCAAACTAACTGTTAGAGAACTACCAGATGAAGTGACAAGAATATTTAAATGGCTTGTTTAACATCCAAGATCTAAACTGAAGTCTGCCATCCTACCACTGTATGTTAGGATTGGGCAGGCAGGAAAACATCAACAGAGAAACTGCTCAAGAACCGAAGTAGAAAATTTCTGGGACCACATAATGATTTCTAACATCAAACAGAAATGCACTGAAAGGACCCTGGGAAATACCAAACACAGCAGAAAGAGACAAGAGTGGAAGTCTAGGACATTTTCCACATGCTCACAGATGTAAAGTTTAGCCTACAAAAAGAGGAAGAGATTCACTTGTGAGAGAAACTTGTCGATTTCAACAGTTAAATTGAGGTAAAGAATAAGTCATATTTCTGCTTGTCTGTCACAGAGAAACGTTCATCTCTGAGAGGAAAAAACTGTGATCTAACTTTAATTTGTATTTCTTAAGCTACAGAATCCCACAAGGACATATTTCAGAAAAGAAAATAAGTAACTTGTCAGTTTTCCATAGGATAAAGGGAAAATGCAAATAATGGGTTTGGAGTTACTGGAATTCTGGAGCATTAGTGACTTGAGTGGGGCCAACAGGAGCCATCAAGCACCCAAAACCTCATGTTATTAAGAAATATGCCCATGCACAGATACCTGATGGGTTGAAATCCTGAAAGTAGTCAGGACAACGCTGTACTGACACAGTTCCAGCAGCAACATCACTCCAGCACAACCAGCCATCCCATGTCCTGTTACAGTAAGGACCTGCAAACAAGTAGAGACCTGATATTAAAATAACAATCCTGCTTTCATAATAATCTTTCAGAATGAAGATGTAAGACTGCAATGGTAAGTTTCTCACTAGCAGCAATGAGAAAAAAATAAAATAGAAACATAAGATTTAGCAGTAGTTAATTAAAATTCCACTAAATAGAAATAGTTCCTTACATGTGCATTTCTGTGAACACATTTTAAAATCCATCATCATTCGCCTTGAAACGGTCTACATCTACAATTTATAAACCTCAGATCTAAAGCGCAGTAGGCAAAGCAAACTAAATCAATTCAGACCAAACGATGCACATTAACAAAGAGCTTTAAGCTTCCATTTTAGCATGTAAGCATTTTACTTAATTTATTTACATTTTGGATGTATACCAAGCTGATACATTTGTTTACTAGTTCATTGAAAACACAGTGGTATCCCATCAGATACCCACCAGAGCTAAGCCTGCAGTGGTCATCGTGGATGGACACTCCTCTAAGTGCTCCCGGGACAGGGAATCCACAATCCCTCAAGAGCCTGTTTCAAAGCCTCATTGCACTCACACAGATTTTAACATCTAAAGTAAACCTCCCTTGAGAACAAGATGGGGTTTTATAAACAAATCCTTTCCCAACAGGCATGCAGAATGACTGACCCTCTCTACAAATCTGAAGATGTTTTTAGTATCTTCCTTCAGTTTTCTTTTTAAAACTTAGTAACGCCCCCTCCATCTCAAAGGCTGCATTTTACAAACATCATATAATTCCTCCTCTTCTCATCCTTAGATTTTTCAATTTGTCCAGATCCTTCCACAGCTGTGATGCCCCAGGCTGGATATAAGCTTACACTGTCATACTTGTATCCACTTCTGAGCTCCAGACATTCAGTTTCTCCAAAGAATCATTTCAGAAGAGAAAAAAACTCATTTTAAAAGAATCCAATTACCTCTTCTTGTCTCAAAAGCCATACAATGTTTCCAGAAGTTATAAAGTCAGAAACAGTGAATACAGCAACAGGTAGAGTTACTGAGGTTAGCTCTGAATAATTTATCAGAAAAGGCATTAATGACACTAACGCAGCTCTTGGAGCAGGAAAATTATCTGTATCAAGATACTTCCCATTTTTAAATGCGGATTTGACCAGGGAGACAGAGGTATCATAAGAGCATGAAATGAAATAATGTGGTAAGACTAATCAGCCATCATTTTTTAATCTGCATATCTATTTGAATTAATATTTTCTTATCTCATCAGAAATAAAAGCTTTGTATTATATAAGAAGTGGTGCTACAGGCAACTAACATAACATACTACTTCATCTTCACGAATGCCAAAGCAACATTTCTAAAATATTATACAAATAGAGTTACAGTCTGAAAAATGACTGCTACCAAGACAGGAACTGAATATAACTGAAGGATCCCAAATTACTGTAATTATATCTGTTGATCATTTGCCTTTGTAAAAACTCATAAGAAAATAATCTTTACCTTCTTTCCTGTGAATAGGATCTTGCATAATCTTCTGGTAGCATTCATACTGTGCTGTCATAATTTTATTTCGTGTAACACTCAGATGAGTGAATTCCTCTGTGATATTCTGATGCCCTTCAGATGGTACAGCAGCAGCAAAAAACTAAGAGGAAAGAGACTTTTTTTTTTAGCAAGTCATGTACAAGCTCCAATATAAAGATTGAAGTTTATAAAGTTTATAAATATTATATTATAAATATTATTTTACTGAAGGAAAATGATCTTCAAATGTTATTACTGACAGTATGATTTTATGTTTTTCTGGTTAATTTAGCAATTCCTCTGAGTACTGAATCTTGACAAATATCTCCTGAATGATCATGGGGCAATAACGATCTGTAAGATTTGTAAATAATAATGAAAAAATGCATAGAAAGCACTGAGGCAGTCAGAAGCATATAAACAGCTTTTGCAAAATCCACTAAAACATAATGAAGTTACATTAGTCTAAAAGGCATTTGAATCAGGCCTCTAACAATCCTTTATGAAAAGAGACTTCCCATATACTGTATGCACTGAGACTTTTGGCTTCTTTAGAGCTATTTGGTTTCTCTATAGTCTTGTGAACCACAAAGTCAACCCTCAGAACACAAAAAGACATGACATCCACTTTTATAGTTATTAAAAATTTAAAAAAGAAAACTTAAGAAAGTGGATCTTGATCAAAAGCTGAATCTTTGAAAGGCATTTTTAAAAGAAGTTAAATATTTCATGGGAAGCTACTAAACTTCATGAAGAAACAAAGCTGCAGATTGAAATACCGTACTGCTGTCATACAAGGGGTGAAATTAAAAGTTCTGAGGATGTCCTCTGAAACTGAGTTAGGTATTTCCTCCCACTTTTCCCGAGGTCTGCACAGTACCGCTTATATGGCACCTGGCAACTGTTACTGTGAATTGCTCTGTTAGCAGAGGATACGCTGGGGTCAGCAGAGGCAAATAATATTTCTTTTTCTTTACCACAGGAATTAAAAGGAGAACAGAACGTAGATAAAGATCCTGCTGTCCAGAAACTACACTTGAACACAAGATTAGTTGTTTCTGCATTTCCATATTAATAATTTCTATGGCATTCTGTACACACGTGTCAAAAGTGGAAGCAATTTAAAAAATTTATAAGACTCACCATCATAACTGATAAGAACAACAGCAAAAATGTCATCCACTTTTTTGTCATTTTTATACCTGGTGCAGTGAATTTTCTATGGTAGACGAATGAACTCCAACTGCAATGAAAAAAAGTAGGAAGAAAATTAGTAATTCATGAAAGCCAAAACTGATAAAAGACTTCATATTTTCTTTCTGAACTAAAACAAATCCATGGAGGTCCTCTCAATTTTTATTCACGCATAGTGACACCACAGAGATGTACCATATGATGCAAATAACATGCACTCAACTCACCAGCAGTGAATTCCAGCAGCAGTGTTTTTCCTGCACTGCTGCCTCTATTGCCTCAACTAACACCAATTCTCCAGAGGTTTGTCTCAGTCAGGCAGCGGGTATCAACTCTAACATAGATATGTAGCAATTAGTCCTGAGGCAGGAGCTGACTCCTTGACATCTCCTCCTTTGGGCAACCATAGCAAACTGCAGCTCAGTTTACTCTAAAGTAGACTTAGACTTTCACAAACACACACACACACACAATTATTTCCTGTTCTCTTCATACCAGCTGACTTCTGATTTTGCCATTTCTGGAAGAACTGATCTAGCAAGTAGCCACTTCATATTGAAGTTACAACTTTGCAAGGATGACAATGGCAATGCAAGAATTAGCCGTGAGCTGAAAAGTAGTTTCTGTATCTCCAGCAGCTGTAAACTAGTTTCTGTATCTGTAGTTTGAAGTAAACAGAACCACCTAAACCAGCTATAAATTGTCTTACAGTGCAGACTATTCTTGGAATTGATTCTTGAAGTGTAAAATGAACCTAAAACTTACAAAATTATTTATTAAGCATTTAGACCACCTATTACGCATAACGCTGCTGTGACAAATCCCTCAAAACGAAGGGAAAAGTCTGAAAGATTTCTCATGCAACATTTCACTGTGTTCTCAAGTATCCTGAGAAGACTACAAAGTTGAACCTGGAACTGAGAAAAGAGCTGCTTTTCTGCTTGCATGGTGGCAAAAGACCTCTCCGCATTTAGATTAAGTTACTACATCTGAGCTACCTTTCAAAATCTAAGTATCTCATGGTACTAGCATTAAGGAACCTACTACCAGACAAAACAAAGGAGACCACATCTGAGTGAGTTTAGCTCCCGTGTGCAGATTAATTCACTAGAAATAATACAGTTTCTTAAGGTATAAAACTGGCATATCCCAAAGGTCCCTCATATACCTAGCTCAAAGATCCCACTGCTACCGAATCAAGCATTCTGTATCTACTTCTTCTGTGCTTTCACACTGAGATTGCGTCCTTTTAACACAACTACAATACAATAAACAGCACTTTGTAGGATATACTGACTACAAAATATGAGATCTCTGCTGTTTATTGTACAGCTTGATGGAAATACAAGAAATGTGTTGTAAAATCATTTACTGTTGTGCCTGTTTAACCCAGACTAAAACTGTACCAGTAATCTTCCCTCTATTTTTACCACCAGCATGCGATCCTCTAACACTGATTGCTGGAAATTGCACAGGTAATTCAGCAAGACACTGAAATTCAAGTATGCTGTTCTGAAGGCTCTTAGAACACTAACAGGAAGACCAATTAGCATACATGAAATACATTCTCAGTTTGAGCTAATACTTCTCTTGAAAATCCACATGTGATGAGAAGTACAGTGAATAGATAATTGAAAAAATCACTACCTGTTAACTAAGAAAAATCTCAATACTTATACGTAGTGACTAAAGACTGACGGAAAAACAAATACAAATGGAGAATACTAAATCAGTAAAGAGGCAATATGATTTCAATTCTGCATAATAACCTGGGGCAAGGGAGATTCACTCAAACTTATCACAAGTTTCATTCATTTATAGTTGTGTCTGTTTAACTAGGAAGGGAAAAAAAACAAACACTGGCCTTCTAAGGAAATTGGAATTAACTACTTGGTTGTAAAGTAATTGAGTAATCTTCTCTCTCCAAAGTATGTCAAAGCACATCTGCACAAGGTTAAAATCCATAAATGATGCGCACAGGACAAGCAAAGAGATCAATCAAGTAGAAAAAAGCAATCATAATTTAGTGTATGTTTTTCTATATAGGTATACAAGAGTTCCAAATATTTTTTTCTATCATAGTACAAAAAAATTCTTTTGGAAAAACAAATATTGGATGGCAAATTTAAAATCCACAGTCAAATATTGCCCTCACTTAGCCTTGCTTATTTACTTAAAAGGCACAAACAAAGGTAAAATTTGTATAAACAAAGGTAAAATTTATCTGCTTTGACTCACAGTCTGTGCTTATTTCTGTTTCATAATATTGAAAGTCAACCTGTAGCTTGGTTCCTTTGATGGTCCAAAGCTTTTCATATCTAGTGGTTTTGCAGACATTTCTTATCAACTATTCCAGTATTTAGTGCTAAATTATAAATTCTTCCCAGGAGATAAAAGATTAAGTCAAGTCTATGATTTGTGCTATGCTTTCTGCTCATATCTCACAGTTACTAACTGCAAAAAACCTTATACACAGAGAAAAAAAAATCCATTTTCTAAACATCACTACTTTTGGACTAAACTACAAAATGCAGGATGATGGTCATTCAGATGTCTTTTTGGACTTCATGAAAGCATTTCTTGCATCATTACATGAATTCATTCACTCAACGTTTATTCCAGTTAGTTTGGACAAGAACTTTCAAAGGAAGATTAAAAACTTTCTTAAGAATAGAGAGCAACGTAGTCCATTGATCGAGGTAGCAAGTCAGTACTGCTGAGAAAGTCGGGCTGCTTTTATTAATCATCTGCTCTGATGAGATGCAAATCAAATATCATTCTCAGAAAGCTCTCTCCCTCTCAGAGCTGGGAGATATTAGATGCACAAGGAAAATAAACTAATAATAAGAGAGACCCATTCTTAGTTTTTTTAAATAACAATGCTTCCCAAATTGCTCTTCTGCTGTTAAACATCTTTGACAATTCTATTGCAAGGAAGAGAGGACAACTGTATTGGACTGAGATTAGTCTGAGTGTATTGAATGCTAGCTTGAGGGAATAGATGGTAGAAGCTTAGACAGAATCCCCTGACTCCACTCTGTGACAGTGGAAAAGCCAGCAGGACTGTGATTTACAGGATAGGTACTGAATGAAACTGTAAGTCAGTGGACACAACACTACAAGTACTAGCAGTCCTCTGGCTTAAGGACTTTCCCAGTAAAAAGAGAACATCAGTGGAAAGAGAATGGGGGATTGCAAAAGCGAATCAGATCTTCAAAATCTTTGTTGTTTTTAGTGCATATTGTACTGAAGACCGAGATCACTGGGGAAAAAAAAATGGAACTGCCTGTTTTTCCTCTTTATTACATTCTCTGGTGCCCAAATCAACGATACTCCAAAGGTCTGTATCGTGTTTGTCACTGATAGCAGTGACATCTACTGAAGGAGTTCAAAAGGAACTGCAAGTTGAACTTAGCCAAAATAGTCACTGGTATAGCTTTAACAGATGTTCACGTCTCTTCCTCCTGCTTTCTCCACAGAGCCATCCTGCCTCATCAGCTGTTTCTACTTTTAACCTTTTCCCATCCTCCCAAGAATAAATGTTGTTCTTGCTGAGCTCCAGACACTTCCCATTTCAATGATACAGCAAAAGGGTTAAAAAAAGTAGTCAGCAAGAAAAAACATTTTTTGAACTTCGATCACCTGACCACATTTAGTACGAAAGAAAAAACACAGACAGCTTCTTTAGGCAGTTGCCCTTAAGTCTGACTTTAAGTCAGAATACAGCTCTCTAGGAGGGAGAGTCTATTTATGACATTACATGTACATTCATACACAAGCACATTTTTCACTGATTGGTAATCCATGATTTGCCCAGGCAAAGGAGAAAAAAACAACCAACCACACTCCTAAAACATTTTCAGTATAAATTACACATCTTGCAGTGCGATATAATCTTGTAAACACTAAAGATGAACATGTGTAAATAGAGACGCATGGCCTTCTTCTCTGACTGAAAATGAAGGTCAGAATGGCTGTTTTCTTCGCCTTAAATCCCTGCTTTTGCTGTTGTTCTAGCACTCTCTGGTTGCGCTGTGTTCTAATATCTCTCAGAAATAGGTACACGTGCTATTTTGTTATTTCTGGTTCTTTTCAGAAGGAGGCATACAACTCAAATTATTTAGAATCCCAGGCAATATTTGGTTGTTTCAGCCCAAGATAGAGGCAAAATCAGCAAGTTGGAAAATACTCAACTCTTTTCAAGCATCCCTAATTTGAATTGCTGTAGTACAGCGTTAGAAAAAAACCAACCCAGTAATCTCAAAAGGAATTACAGATAGAGCCTTCACTTACATCTCCACTCACATAAACTTTCTGGGAAACACTCTGCCTGCTGAGGGGCAGATTCTCTTCTAACTGAAAGGGCTTTGGAAGTGGGCAGTACCAGCCAAACATTAATACACACCAACTCATTTAGTCCTGAAAGCGGACTACGAAATCTCCACACTTATCTTAAAGAGCAATGCTGGGCTATATTTGGAAATTTTGGCTTTTTTGACAGTGGCATGGGTCACGTGGCACCAAGCCTACTGGCACCAGAGAGAACTTGTCTTTCTCAGAGGGGAATGAGGGTCTTGGCGCAAAAGCTAGCAGGGCTCATTGACAGGGCTTTAAACTAGATTTGAAGGGGGAGGGGGGGAATATCAAGAATGATAAAGATATGCTGGAAGTACCTGTAGATCAGAAGAAGGGAATTCCAGCTTCTCCAGACAGGAAGTCAGATTCATCTGGGGCTCAACTTAAATGCCTTTATGCCAATGCACGCAGCATGGGGAATAAGCAAGAGGAGTTAGAAGTGTGTGCGTGCCTGTTGGGATATGATCTTATTGGCATCACGGAGACGTGGTGGGATGAATCCTATGACTGGAGTGTCAGAATAGAAGGGTACAGGCTCTTTAGGAAGGATAGGCAGGGGAGAAGAGGAGGAGGAGTTGCCCTCTATGTCAAGGACCAGCTAGAGTGCATGGAGCTGCACCTGGGGACGAATGCAGTCAGGATTA